TTCCTATATTTCACATTAAACTCATCAAAATGCCCCAAAAAGTCTTTTCAGCAAAAATGAATTCCAGTGAAAATAAAGTATTCCACAGTAACATTAATTATACATGCAAGTTTATAGCCATAAAGGGACAAAGATTCAGTGAAATATCCACATTAAACAAAGCAAAAGCTGAGAAATAATATTAAAACATACCTAGGTTCTGTGCAATCATTGTCATACCTGTCTGAACAGCTGGTTCCAAAGGAGAGGGTTGGGATTTCTCTTCAAATGCAACCTCAATGCCACCATGGGAATGAGTCACATGATAAGTTAATCCAGGTCTATTCTTGTAACGACGACCACACACTGAAAAATATCAGGAATACAACCACGATTAGAAAATAAAAATTGACACATGTTTCTACAAAATCCTAATGTACATGGAGGAAATAAATGTAATGTTCAAAAAATAATCACCTAGTTCTAATCATGATATGAAAAACCAAAGAAGATGTGAACCATCTATGCTTGATATTTTTTTGATAAATAATGATAATACGGTTGATAATGCGTGGGACATTGCACCAATTGGCAAACGTGATCATGTTGGTCTTGTGTGGAAATGAAGTGTTGCATCTATAGATACATGTACCACAGAAAGAGGATCTTTGCTTAAATTTGTGGTGAGATGACTTTGTGTCAATGAACAACTGGTTGCTGGATGTTGAAAATAATACAAAGGCTGCTGGAGATAAGTTTTAACACTTTGCAGATGATCTCTGTGTAAAATATGTGTCTTCTAAATACATAAGGCAAGTATAAAAAAAGAAGCCTGAATAGAGGACAAGTTATCAAGTCTGTTATAAAAAAGCAAGAAATATCAGGAAGTACGAGAGATTGACATGTGTTATAGTGTTATAGTGTTATAGCTAACATATATAGTCATTTAAGAATGGCAAGGACATCAAAGTAACAATAATGACTTACAGTTACAAGCAAAAGGTTTTTCCTTGTCCTCCGCCATCAGTGTTGGCATATCTGCATCAGCTTTACGACGAGACGTTTTAGTCTGCAATCAAGAACAGTAATTAAAATTAATTAAACTAACTAGAGTTAGTTCAAGTATTGTCCTGCTAACAAAAGATAAATTAATTTTTTACTTTTATGAATTTTCAAGATTTGACAATCCTATGGCATGGGACACTGACACTGTATCATAGGAACCAAAGGAATTTCCCCGCAACAAAATTTCATCATTGTCACAGACTCACCTCTTACAGAATTTAAAAGCAAATTTACCTAATATGTGTATAAACACCAGTGACCATTGTAGCATACCAAACCATGTGACATTTGAGCACTACACGATTGTCCTTTGCATTTCAAAATTAATTCTGTTGAACTCATTGTTCTTAAGAAAATGATAAGTACGAAGATACAATAAACTGGGTTCACATAATTAAAATGTTTCATCTACAGCCAGAAATACAGATATTTAACATATTAGACATATGACTAAACAAATAACAGTACATTTTAGAAATTCACACTGCCGGTACTTTCTAGAATTCCTAATACACTGGTTTTGAGGAAAAATGCTGGCTTTGGTGTCCTAGATTTGTGCAGAAACGAGACTATTTTACACCACAAAAATGTTGCACTTCGTTCATATCCTAGCTATGATGACAAACCTTTTTACTGCTTTTCTTCTTTTTCAAAGTATATTCATAATCTTCATCGTCACTTCTCATGGAGTCAATATCTTCAATTTCACCGGCATCTGGTATATCACTTAATGTATCAAGGTCCTTCATTAAGGAATCTTCCTTTGAGTCTTTTTCACTTGTATTTAGAATGGATTCAATCAGACTATTCGCCTCTTCGGAGTTTACACCAAGAGCATTCTCTACACTACCTATAAGATTAAGATCTGAAAACAAAATTAATAAGTTGTTCAAAAATGATTCGGAATTTGGATGACCATTTTATTGTATAATTCTTTATTTCTGCTTTGAATTACTTTTCGATATTTTCGCTGAAGGAATAATTCAGTGAAATAAATAAAATCCAGCGGTTATACCTTTTTTTCTATATTTTACATTCAAGTTGTCAAATCAGTGAAAATAAATTTCATACAAAACATCCAAAAACTATTTTCAGCGAAAATTAATTCCAGCTAAAATAAAGTATTTTACAATAGTATCTAGCAACATTAAGAATTGAACAACCAAATAGAAAATAAAAAAAGAGTTTCTCTGTGATTTTCTTGTTCTATTTTGCAGATCTAGGTAACATGATTTGTTAAATTCAGTCACATGATTTACAGCTTTGTCATACATGTACCAATTTATCTATGAAGCATAACCAAGGAGACAGTGAGGAGAAAGATCAAAAGGCAGTGATCATCATCTTTTCTTCACATTCTAATCAATATATACTGTATTTGTTCTATTAGAAGCGCATGTAAAAATCAATTGCATTACTGTAAAATATTTTATTTTCACTTGGAAATTACTTTTGCTATTGTCGCTGAAGGGATGATTCAGTGCAAATGAAATCTAGTGAATATTTTCTCCTTTTCATATTTTACATTCAACTTGTCGAAAAATCAGTGAGAATAAATTCCCTACAAAATACCAAAATAAAATTAATTCCAGCTAAAATAAGTACATTGTACTTTATTCGACCAAAGACACACTACTGACGTTCACATAAGAGCATGAGCTACTAATAGAACAAATACGATACAAGTTTACACCTACATAACCAATGATGCTGTATGATCACATCTCATTTTTACAGTTTCTTTAACTGTCTTTGTTTTTTAACTACATTGTATGACCAAATACCCACAGACATACTATTGACAATCCATTAGGCCAAAAAACAAACAAACTTGTGTTGCCCTTGAATCGGAAAATTGGGTTGGTCGATCAGATTTTTTTTTTTTCAAACTCGTGAAAACTAAGGGTATCGTAAATAGCCGAGGTATATAGGAATCAATCAATGCTACATATTAAACACAAAAATCAAAGTGTTTCTTTCAGTCTGTTGTATTTAAATACAGATCAACCCAAGGTTCAAAGTCGCCATTTATCCCCCTGGGGACCAAACAACGGTTAGGGATCGTTAATTTTTAGAGAAAACACTTTTTTACTGCTTAAAATGGTGAGTTTTTAAAATTTAGGCCTATTAAAAAAAATATAAAAAAACGCGACCCAATATTTCATATTTTTCGGTCGGTCGCTGAGGGCAACAAAACAATTTTTTTTTTGGGCCTTATAAAGGGTCTCATACAGGAAAGGAAAGTAAAAATATCCCAATACAATCAATAAAATAAAGAATTTTTACCACTATTCTGTATCATTCCAGCATCTGTCTCTTCTTCTGGTTTAACCTGAGGTGATGATGGAATAGGAGGGGGACGCCCTCTTTTTTTCCTCCATCTTCTGGAGGGGTATGTATAGAACTGGCCATACGCCTCACCGGGTCCTCTATGTCGCTTCTGCATCCATATGTAGCAGTTGTTCTGTGCAACTCCAGTATGTGAATCAAGAAATGGCAGGCGCAATTTCCTCTCAATGGTCAGTCTAGTGTTATAATGTGAAGCATTGTCAAGTGTGTCTTTGTAGTATTGGTCCCAATCTCTGAAATTAATAAGAGAAGAAAGGAAATTTCATCTATTACCACATTCTGTCTGCATGCTGTATATATAGCCATTGATGTAAATTTATGATATCATTTTACCAATATGATATTTTACATTGATCATTCAACTTTCGATTGAGATATGAAGTGGTTTAAAATGTTTAATGTTTCTGAATTAATGTATGATTTCTTCACTAGATGACAAGCTTAAAGTGCCTGTGAAATGGCTGCTATTTTCTCACCTAAAATTATCCATTGATAAATTAATATTATTAATTTTTATGTTTCTAAGCATAAATTATTTTTTTTAAGTGAAAAAATGCATTTTAAACTCAGTCTACGGCAACTTTATTTTTGTGTATTTTAAAACGAGGCTCCTCATTAGCTTCTCATTTGCATACAGAAATTCCCCTGTGACGTCAGAAGGGAAAGTTGCTGAATAGCTTGCATTGCCGATACGTGTAAATAAGGCAAATTTCTTGTGCTGTTTTCTCATCTTTGAGTAAATTGCCACTTATGTACTTGTTCGTCGAGGAAAAATGGACCATAATGAACACATAGTATCAAGTTTGTTGCATGGGGTTGAGTCAGATGCGAAATATGTCCGGTCTGGTGTAGCTAGTCACCGTGGTCGTCACCATCACACGTTTGTACACTGTCGCTGGACTCTGGCATTGGACAAAATCAAATTTGACGCCTGCATTGTCTTGTTATTTAGCAGGTTACTTGGCACATCAACCTGAGGGCTGCGTAATTTCCTGTTTGTCCGATGCTTCGTTTCCGTGTCATTATCAAAATTACTGCTACCTTTTACATAACATAAGTTGTCAGCGTTTCTCGTTAAAACCTAGTTGTTTTGTCATGGACAAGGACAGTTTGAAGTGGACATTACATATGACGCTGTAAGGAGGAAGTCCACGACAACCTTTTCTCGTGATTTTCACGGCTTTCGTCCACCGATATCGCACCTTCGGATCGATTGGAAACGTGTAAATACTTACACTATGATTATACGCATTACTGCAACCGCCCACAACACAACGTTTAACCATCATAAATGTTTGTTGTGAAAACAACTTCTAAAAATTTGCTCTCTTGAAAATAAAATAAAATAGACAAAAAAAAAGAAACGCCGATCAAAAAATGTATATCGTTTAAAAGTATGTTGAATGACACAGTGATATAAAAGAACGACCTAAGGGTATGGCTTCCTCTCATATTTTAGCATTTGGTGGCACACTTTCGGCGAGAGTCGGAAATCCGGAAACAGTCGACCATTTCAGAATAGGTGGGCGTGGCTACAGCACAGGAAATATTTCAATCATAATCATTTTCAGCAAAAAAATCAATAATTGCCCATTTCTGTGGGGCACAGATCTAAAATGGGAAGCGTGTGGGTGGGCATTGCACAGGCACTTTAAAGTAGTGACAAGGGACTTGAATTTAATTAAATGTGATTATAAGTAAATTACTATATTTATTAAACATGGCAATAGTAGTACATGTTTGACCAAACAGAATCACGTGACGCTAAAACAAACACAATGTTCACAAAATATTAATAATAGAAAAGTACAAGTCAAGGGCTTTCCAAACATATATAGATTGTATAGGTTCTTGTAAAATTTACTCCGATTATAGATGTTTACATTTTTCATGCCAAAAAACTATCAGTTAAACTACTGAGCAATATTTTATCGCAAGGAAATAAGTAACATTTCTATCTTTATGTTTTATTTATTGTTTTAAATTCACAATTTGGAATATGTGCATTTGTGTAGTCTACACTTTAGAAATGCTCTACTACATTGTACTAACAAATGAAATAATTAATAAAAAAATTATATACAAATACGAAAGAACTGAAAAGATACTCAAATGCTTTCATCGTAGAATCCAGCTTATAAGGCCCTAAAAAACAGCGTCATTAAGGCAAACTTATTATTTTAATTAAATCATTAACAGAATTGTTACAGAGTGTAGAACAGATTATTCGCTATTATAGTGATATTGTAGAAATACACGAGTATCAGTTTAGATCACACTTGCACATACGCGATTCAACAACAGCAGCCGCGTAACAAAGAACAACAGTACGTTTACATAGTGCACACCCAGGCCGTATGGCGCCGTAAATATTTAACGGTTTTGCGACAACTCCGAACATAAAATAATCCTTTGACCGGTACCTCAGCAACCTTCGTCACAAAATGTACGTGTTGGTCACGACATGTGAGACGTAACTGTCATACTTACGTGATAGGAACGTGATGATATCTCGACGACCGTGTGACAGCCATTTTCCTGTGCCAAATAATGACTCGCTTCATGTGCTTTCTAAAGTGCTTCCGGGTGTCATTCTATACCGCCCTCTATAAGCAATACTGCGACTCGCAAAGCGCTTCCTTTTACCTACAATACATTGTATTACTAGTCTGAGCTCAGATTTGTTGTTACACACGCATTTTGTACATTTACAATTAACACACGTGTTATAAATTCCCAGCTAAGATTTTTCCAGGGAATTTGCTCTGAAAGCCAAACAAATTTGCAGTTTGATGTTCTGAATAAACGCGTAATGTACTGTATTTTATAGTAAAATACTTTATTTTAGCTGGAATTAATTTTCGCTGAAAAGGCTTTTTGAGTGTTTTGTATGAAATTTGTTTTCACTGATTTTTGATGAGTTGAATGTAAAATATAGGAAAAAGGTATATTCACTGGATTTTATTTTCACTGAATCTTCCCCTCAGCGAAAATAACGAAATTAAAAAGCTAATTTCATACTAAGAAAATTTAACCCTAATATTTTACATTGACTTGACCAGATCTCGCCCCTTGCAAAATTTCTTGCCGCCACCTCTGCAGAAATAACTTTAAAGCACTAATTTTACAACAAATGAATCTTACTACATTGCACTTGCACTAGACTGGCAAAGTCGGGATTTCTTTTTTGTTTTACAATAATAAATATACATACAAAAAAAAATCCCGGTCACGCTAGTTTAAACGATCACGCTAAAAAGGCCAAATAGACAATTAATTATATTTATTTTTGTAAAACAAAAAAGAAGTCTCGACTTTGCCAGTCTACACTTGCACATGTACTTGAAACCACGGTTAACTATCGATTATCATCGGATACACCTCAGACTAGTAATAATTACTAGTCTGAGGATACAACTAGCGATGGTTAGTAAAATTCGTAATCGTTTATACGTCGTGTGGTTTCTTGTTAGTGGTTAATACAAATCGTGCCAGTCGACAAAACTTCAGGTCTCAGGAGCCAACTATAGCAGACGGCAACCGTTTTGGTGCCGTTTTCTCATGCCTTTCTTTTGATCCCATAATACCCGAGGTTTCTTCTTAACGCACTATGTCCAAAAGCAAGCATTTTTTTTTATATAGTTTTGCCCATTTCATATGACAGAAGGGCTTTTTGGAAAATCGTGGTATGTCGTCTATTTAACCACGGCTCTCGACCAATACGAACGACGTATTCAGGCGATTAGAATGTCAGTATGATATAATATTGGTTTTAAAGTGCCAACTGTGTTAATAAGATTTTCTTTATACATTTGCCCTTTCTTCACAGGCGAGTTCTGTACATGTTCACGTCTTTGATTATTTTTCGAGGTTTTGATATACATGTGTAATTATGATTAATTTTATGATATAAATCAAAGACACTAGAGAAGATTTAACTCTATGAGCTATACCACAGTTACTCTGGGACTGTGGCTATACTATGTCCGAAACAAACAAACAAATAAACTCAATTTAGAACTAGATATTTTTTTCTATCAAATGTATATGAGATTTTTGTGTCTTTGCTCTTGTAATTTTTATGCACATTTTTGTTTTCAAAATACCGCGCATTTTTTTATTTTTTGCTCTTCAAACTACACCTCTACCACGGTCACTGACCGTGCCTCTACAGAGTTTACAATGGCCAATCCTGCTGTAACATGATATGTACACCCGAATCTCGTGATCAGCTGACAATGATTTATCGGCCGAAGAACGGAGGTCACTTTCAGTGGCCTTGGAATAACATGTATATATGTCAGAATAATACATTTGAAAGTAAATGCTTATACTGCACAAAAAAGTTGATTTATAGCCGGATAAAGGGGGGGTACTACGTCGAACCAACAACAATGTGATCAAATCAATACCTTGGTAGAAACAAAATCTATATCAAAATGTATATCAAATTACCCATTTGTATGACTCTTCGAGTTTATATCAAATACAAAGTATGATGCAATATGTATAAAATGCCTAGCATAGAATGGTTATAATACGTATTACATATTATTGCACAATGCATTTAAAAGTTTAATATACAAAATTGTATTATAAATCAATTGAGCGCAAAATTTGAGATGCGGGACTATACTACACATACTACTACACAGTCCCTATGTGATAAAGGGACTGTGACCAGGGAAGAGTACACTACACTGGCACGAAGTATAGTCCGACACAATTGTCCATATTTTAGCGTTTTCCCGAGGCGGCGTAATTTTAATTTAGCTTTAACTACCATGATAAAAAGAGGCAACACCTGGTTCACCCATTATCAGAATGAATGAGCGAAATGAAATTTATTCAAAAGCGAAAAAGTCACGTGGCAGGTCACGTGCAATCCTTCTCGGTAAGGTCACGCATGCTCAGTGGCGTGTTTACTACAGGAAAGTTACACTATAGGACTACCTAAGCTGACAACAAAAAACATGAACGTCCACGTCATAAATAAGTTACTTGTACTGCCACAGGGAGTTGGACAAACTTATGTATTTTAATAAATTATTAAAAAATAAAATGTTATACAACTTTTCTTTTACCCTCCCTTTCTGGTATCGATTTCAAGTAATCACTGATCTTTGTTTATACCACTC